TCCGCTTAAAGAAAAGGCACTTGGCATGGTTGCATTGTAATGGTAGGATAGTTAACTATGTAGCTAACCTAGGTCCTGAGAGTTGAGGTTGAATAATAATAGTTTAGTTGTAAAAATTAGGGTACAAATATTTGCACCAAGGTGGGCATAAGCATCACACATCACTATAATCCAGGGTACGAATAGCATCCACTTCTAATTGTATAGCTGGGTGTAAATAGCATACACTGCTATATAGCCTACAGCAGAGTACAAATAGCATCGGCTTCTAATTGTACCCCGGTACAAATAGCAATATGTTGTTATTAATATTAATATTAATAATAATAATATATTAGCCATATATTATAAGGATTTCTGATTAAGTCTCTCTTTAAATATTTTAGATTAAATAAACAGCAATCATAATGTAAATTGGAAAACACCACAACATACACATATACTAAATACAGCTGCACTATGTCAGTATCAAAGTCCACCAACACACAAGAGGCTACACCTTCTAACAGTAATATCAAATACTGCGCAGCTCAGCCTCCTAGTTTGAGGGTCAGTGACAAATAAGGGTTGGCAAGATGAGCAATTCAGAAATATCTTCAAAAATAGTTTTCAAAGCATGCATCAGATTTGTTAAAATGTACATTCTGTATTTTTGTTGGTTTTATGTCATTTGAAATGACATTTGCACCATTTTTTATGAAAAGCAAGACTGAATGCCCCTGAAAATGTCAAATGGTGTAACCACAACAGAATGATAAATATTAAATATTTTATCCACCTTCAGTATATTTAAGTGTACTTATAAAAAAAAACTTTATTTCAAAAGCATTCAATTGAAATAAGATATTTTTGGAGTATTTCTATATTTAAATTTTAATGCATTTTGGCAATACTGAGCAGGACATTTCCTAAAAACACCCCTTTTTTTCTAAATAACGCTTGACAAATTATGTAAAATTTGTTAAAAAACACAGTGTTGCACTGCAAAAGTGGATTACATTTATTCCACATTTTACTCCACATTTATTTTCCTGTATATAATCATATTTTTTTATGAAAAAATACCAGTTACACCAAATGACACTGGGTTGTGTCAATTGGTGTAACTGATATTTTTCACAAAAATATGATACACTGCCTGACCATGTTCTTTCTACAGTCAAACACCATTGTTTGTTGAAGAAATTGACTCTGAAAATCAAATATGACAGTCAACAAGGTTAAGTGAACTTGTTTTTGTTTTCATGTTATTTCAGTTGACAGTGAGCTAATTTCTTCTACTGTAAATTCTTTGCTGAAAAAACATTTCACAATCATGTTTCATTTTTAAAATTTAACTCATGTTTTGTATCTTAAGTTCTGATAAGAAAAAAGTCACCTGACAACAACAATTGGCCCTTGCTGCAGCATTAGCATTCGTTAGCATTTATTTGCATTTGCATTTGCACTCTATCACTTTTTCCTTGTTAGAGACTGGCTCGTAATGGGGAAAATTGATTTCATTTATTTAGTTTGATTACTTTAGTTTTCTATAAATGTATCATATATTAGTAATGAAATAGCAGAAATGTAAATAATTGTATATTACAGACAGAAATTTTAATGTTTCAGTAACATTTCTACTTTAAATGAATTAATGGATTTTTAGGTATTTTAAAGCTACTGTACAAGTTCAAAATAAGTTGTTTTTTTTATAATACATCTTTAATTAGCATCATAAACTACTGATATCCAACAAATTGCTATCATAAACTGCTGATATTTGACATAATTGGCCTATAATAGAAAGGCTCTTAATAGGAGTCAAATGGTGTAACCATTTACACCATTTGACATTTCATTTTAAAATCAAATTTGACAGGCATTACCATGGACACCTGTGTAACATGGCCTTACTCTCAATATTTCAAACATAATTTTTAAATTGAATATTCATTTTAATGATTTTTATGAATTATTAATGTTTTTCTAGGGTCATACCATTTGACATGTAAACTTACCAAACCTGACCAGAGTCTAAAAACGTCAATTTATTAGTAATTTTAAGAGATTCTAACCTTGTCATGAAGCAGTTGTGATCATCAGGGGTCCTTCTCTGTAACACCATTTCCTGTCAAATGGCCTTCTTTACAATACTAACAAAACGGCCTCTTAAATGGTGGTTACACCACTTGACACTTCATGTAGTTTACTTGACTTTCATGATTCCCCAAATAAAATTTCATATTTAGAACAATTGTATTCCATTACCTTTACTGAATATAAAAACGTAATAATTTAAAGATCATGCAAACTAGTTGATATGGTGTTTCATTGAGAATTTTAGTGTTTTTAAGCAAGTTTAATTATTTGGTGCAAGTTTTTATGGTTACACCACATTTTTGCCATTATCCGCCAATTCTCTCAAAATGTATTGACAACAGAAATTTTATACTGGATCCACACAAAATTGAAGTTTGTAAGTTAATCATACATTTATTTTCAAATTTTAACCCTTTTAAATTTGACTAAACCATATGGACACAAAAAAGTAGCGTCACGTCGTTGACCCTTGAACAGATGATAGCATAAAATAAAGCTGCAGTAACAATGTGATCAATCCACATCACTTCAGTGATGACAAAACGCCCGATGGTTTGCAATAATACAGTGTAAATGTAGGCTATTTCATATGAGTCGCACTACATGCGTCATTACGCACAGTGCACCATGGCTACATTAATCCAAAAAATACCTCAGTGAGCTCTGGGCAGACCGAACTACAAGGTTATAACACATTATTCTCAAAGTTAATGAGCTGCAAATCACAGCGCGTGTAGCAGGTGATCTCATCCTGGGCGCAGGACGCACACACAGTCAGTCACATACAGTCACATAACAAATCATTCTCTTGTCTCTCGCAAACAAAATACTACACTAATGAGCAACGCGCATTTCAATATAAAATGTTAAAATAGACTAAGTTTATTTAGAGAACCAGATACAAAAAGCCAGGCTTCAACAATCAAAACAAACGAACTCAGGAGACCATGCCCTGGTCTGATTACACCTGGTGCGTCCTCACCTCCTGACGTTCCATCGTTGCCATGGCGCACAACATGATAACATTTTTGATAATGTTTAAAATTCAGTCCGGTCGCCATCTTTTTTTTTCAGTGGAACTGATCACAGATTGTCACATTTCGATAAATTGATACCCTCAAACAAAATTAGCAGTGTTTCCAAATCACTATATTAATTATTAACACATTCCGCACCTGTTCCGGTTGATTTAACACATCCTGTCCATCAAATACATCCGTTTACACGACAAAGGTGAATTAGTGTGATAACGAGATTGTGATCATTAAAAATAAGCGTCTGTTTTCACCAAATCTGAGTTTTCCGACAGACCTAATAACATGCTGTGAACTGTCCAACTTTTAAACTGATAACGCTTTTAACAATTTCAGAGGTCGTGTCAACCAGTAAAATGCAAAAATAAATCTGGAAGTTGTCTTACCTGGTAGGTCGAAGTCCCTCACAGACAGGTGGTCCGCCGGGGGTCCGCTAGGAGCCATCTTCGGGTTTTCCACAAAGTTGAGTTGTCCAAACGGTTGAAAAGTGTTGTCGAAAAAGTTGTGCTTTCTGCTTTAAATCTCACAGAGTAATCTTTCCACAGGTTGGTTCTGGTCCAAATCCAAGTGCAAAGTGAGAGATCACAATGATCTGAAGGCCTTATGCACGTGACCTTGGCCGGGTCATCGTTCTGTTTCTATGACATTTGATGTCATAGAAACAGAAAGCCTGCGAGTGACTGAGACAGACAGACTGGCATTATTCAGTTATATTTTCATAATTGTTCATATCTTAATTTTATTCTTGTCTTTAAATTTTCACTGGTTTCCATTAGCATTTCTCTCTTTAATGGCAGTGCAGCTGCTGGTTCTGTGTAATTACTGCAACATAAATAACTAAAAACATTATAAACCAAACCATAGCCACCCTTCACATTATAATGCACTGGACCTTATTGTTATCCCAGTAACAGACATTTTTGGGCCCTGTTCTTCTTCTTTGAGTTTGCTGCTAACTGCTTCTAGCTGCTTTTTAAATTTTGCGGTGGTGGGTCACACACATAAGATGCCATCTAAACAACACCCCCATCCTATCTATGGTCCTGTCCTTCCAGCTGTCACCTTCACACAGACATTGATTTGGCACTGTTACTACCTCTACTGCCAGCTTAAAAGCAAGACAGCTCTGCTCCCCCATTCTGCCCTAAATAAGGCAAACCCATCTCCATCATGACTTTCTGGTTTTGTAAAACAGTCTCAATCTATAACAAATTATAAACTTTTTCTACATAAACCATTTAAAAAAACTATAATTTACCAATAAAAACAATCAAGTTAAACTAATAATTTCCTATTTTCTTTTGTAGATTAGTCTTATACAGATATGTAATGATGATTGCTGTGTAATATGTATGTTAATGTGTCCGATATCAAGTATCTGCAAGTGGATGTAACGTAAAAGCGGCAGTAAGACACACTGTTGCTAAAATATATATACACCTAAAACTCTGTGTGTGTGTGTGTGTGTGTGCACTTCATAACTTGTAACTAGGGCGTAATAGGGCCCCTCATAATAGCGTGCACTGGGGCCCATTGTAACTACCTTACGCCACTGCTTTGTAGTTAAGAGAAAAGTTCTTCATCATCATCAGCTGCATGACTCTGCTATGTTGCATCATGTAACTGTGGAAAAAAAAGGAAGATGGAATGATGCAATAACCAAGGGAGAGATGAGGAAGAGGAAGAGGGATGAGGAGAAATAACAGATACAACAAATAGACTGACAAAAGCAGCCTATAAGCCTATAGCAGACAGTGATGAGGAGGATGACTGGGGAGTTGAGGAGTGCCGTAAGAGATAAGTGAGCTGCACTATGTCTTGTACGATCAGAGAGCTGCTTGAGCTCAGCAGGTTCAGGTCGTCACCTCTCCACAGTGCTGGATGATGGACAGCCTGGAGGGAGAGGAGCTCTGTTACCCTCTGCTCCTGAACGTGTCCTGCAGGGGTTTAATGCGTCCTCGCTTTGAGGCCATCCTCCTCTACACGCTTTTCTCCTCCATCACTGTGCTCACTGTAGCTCTCAACCTTATGGTTATTATCTCCATCTCACACTTCAGACAGCTTCACACCCCCACCAACCTGCTCCTGCTCTCCCTGGCTGTCTCAGACCTCCTCGTTGGGGTTGTGGTGATGCCGGTGGAAACCGTGCGATTCATAGAAACCTGCTGGTTGTTGGGCGATGTCATGTGTGCTCTGTCTTACATCATAGGCTTCACTCTCACCTCAGCGTCTGTGGGGAACATGGTGCTCATATCGATCGATCGCTTTGTAGCTATTTGTTATCCTCTGCAGTACCCAAACAAAATCACTCGCAGCAGAATTGAGGTGTCTGTGTGCCTGTGCTGGGCCTGCTCATTTCTCTACAATGGCTTGATTTTAAAGGACCATCTCAGGCAGCCTGACAGATACAACTCCTGCTATGGGGAGTGTATGGTGGTCATTAACTATATCTCCGGAACTGTCGACCTTGTGTTCACATTCATCGGCCCCTGCTCAATCATCCTCATTCTGTACATAAGAGTGTTTATTGTGGCAGTGTCTCAGGCTCGTGCCATGCAGTCTCACATTACAGCTGCTGCAGCCAGAAAAGTTCCAGTCACTGCAAAGAAGTCAGAGAGAAAAGCAGCCAGGACTCTGGGTATTGTCATACTGGTGTTTCTGATGAGTTTCTGTCCATATTACTATCCCTCCCTCGCAGGACAGGACATCTCAAATGATGCTTCATCTTGGGCCATTGTGTCCTGGCTGTTGTTTTTTAATTCTTGTTTGAACCCAATCATATATGCTTTTTTCTATCCATGGTTTAGAAAAGCTATCAGGTTCATTGTCACCCTGAAGATACTTGAGCAGGGCTCCTCTCAGGCTAATATACTGTAGAGTCACAACACCCTTTTCTCATGACCTGTATCACCTGGCATGTTGCAAAAATTAAACTGCTGTTGATGTGTGACAGTAGAGTATGTAAACAACACAAATGCAGCATAATCAATTTTTAAAGTCATTATTTATCAAGTAATAATGCCTAACAATTGATCTTTTCAGGCTCCTAAGTGTGACAATTTTCTGCTTTTCTTTCTTACATTATAGCACTGAATATATCTGGGTTTTAGACAGTTTGTCAAATGAGAAAGGGGATTTGAATTTATTGCCGTGGCTTTAGGAAATGAGCAATGTAAGTAAGGGGCATGTTTTGCTATTTTCTGATATTTTATAGACCAAACTATGATTTCATTAAACCAGAAAGTAATCAGAAGACTATTTTACAATTAAAATAGTTGTTAGTTGCAGACCTGGTATAGTTGTACTAGACATGTTTAAATTTTACATAAAGCCATTAGATAAAATCTATCTATCTAATACAGCATGTTGTATACCTTTCAATATGAGCCTATGTGGACCTTAACAGACTGAACGTGATGGGCTCCCAACAGGTGAACTTTCCTTAGGTGGCTTCAGTTTGGCTTATGCTTCAGTCACAGCATTGTTATGGCACAAGTGACAAACATTGTAACCAGAAGATAATACAAGACATAATTTGGGATTCAGCAAGAGACTAAAACTGTTATTATTATCAAGGTGGTTGGATTTTACAGACATAAAGCATGACTCTATCTCTGACTGTACACAGTTATCTATTTCAGACTGTTTCAAGAACTTAGGGGAAAGAAAATGTGAAAGTATATTCAGTTGGGTGTAAATGTTTTTCATCATTGTCATAGCAACTTCATTTAGACAGGATTATCAAGGTAATGTGTGAATTATACATGTCAGGATTCAGCAGCAATGCAAAACTTGTGTAAATACTACATCTACTTAATGAGAATAAATGTTTAACAGCAGGCCTCATGATATTTGTGTCTCCCCTGGTTTGGTAAAACCTTTAATGCTGTTGTAATTATAAGGTCTGATTTCTGTCAGATCAAGAACCTGGTTTGAGAGAGAATTAAAATGGATGATAAAAAAAAAGTGTCTTTACGTAACATTTGAGATGCTTTATTATGTTCTTAATAATTGAGCTTAAAGCAGCACATAGGAGTGAACAATGTGGAAGGAAAATGACTGCAATGAACAAACAAATGATGGAAACAAACAGATGCAGATATATTGTGTACAAAATTAGCACAAAATAAGAATGCATTGGGGTTTCTTTCTGATGGGGACTGTGTTTAAATAAACATTTAAACAAACAAATAACATTTATTTTTGTAAAAATAACTTTAATTTTTATATTAACAGTCTGGTGTAGTACAAAATCATGTTGAAAAAAATTTAACAAACAAACAAGAAAAATTGATGCTGAAGTCCTCATCTTCTGGACTGAGAACGGGGCCGTCTGACTTCTGTAATGAACAGTAAAAATATTTGAAACATATAAGCAGAGAGTATTTTCTTGTTCTAGTCACTTGACAGTCATACATCTGTTCATTTTTATTCTATTTATTAACACATAAAGTAAGACTAATATACTATGTGGTTTTAAAAGGTCAAATAAAATAAAATAAAGAGACAAGAGGCCAGAATATTTTGAAGTTCTTTTTCATGCAGTCATCTAATATTAATAATTTAGACAATAAAAACAGTTGAACAGCATGTTGTACCACACAATTGCAAATGTATGATTATTTTCCAAAAATCAAAATAGAACAAAATCTGATTTTTGAAAAGAAAAAACATTGTGGGAATGGATCTGGAGGGAGCCACTTTCTTTAAAGTATATGTAGGAAATGCATGTAGGACAGTTTTTATTAATAAACAATAAATACCAGGGATTTCATGTGGCCAAAAGTCATCACAAGCTGGACACCGCGGCTCTGCTTTTCCTTTAAAGTATCTGGCCACACATGGGTTGTGTATCTTAATGCCACATAAAGAATTCTCACAAATTTGACACTGAAAAAACAAGAACAAAAACAAAACAAAAAAAAAATCAGATCAGATCACATTAATATGTGAGAAAACTCATTTTGTAAAGATCAGGTTTGTTACACATTAGCTGAACTAACGCAAAAATGATGACTGTAATGTCAACGCAAGGTGAAAAACAATTCAGCCTGACACAGGAAGTAAAAACTGAACAAATCTGAAAATGACAGAGAAATAAAAAGCACCAAGACACATCACCAATATTAATCTCACTGTGTCCTGTATCTGTAGTGCAGATACTACTCAAATCACATTAATAAAAAAAAGGGAATTCTTGGTCATTCATATTTATGTAGTTACTCAAGAGCATGTCTGTGTGACTTCTGAGGTGATTTGCTTCTTACACTGTAATCATAATTGTGTTTGTTCCTCAGATTGACAGCTTTAAATGGTACAATTATGTGATTTATTTGATTAAAGCACCTGATATCAGGCTTTTAGAGTCATATTTAAACAAATTAAGAGATATATGTTATGCCACTGCTTTTAAATGACAAAATTGCTAATTTAGAATAATATTTTGTAACAACTGTGAATATAATCATGTAATTAAAGAAGGCTGCTTTCAAATAAAAAATAGTTGTCACCAGTATGGAATAGCATTTCTACCTGAAAGGGGTAGTTTGGGTTAGTTCGAGTGCACTGACCGCCATTTACTGTATGTAATACACTAAATGTAGGTAAGTATCTCATTCAGCCCCGCTTCAAAAAACCCAAACTATCCCTCTTGCATCATGGCTTTAATGGAATGAGTACTGAAAGCAGTACTGGGAGTTTCTAAATGACAGACCTATCCATCCATTTCCATCCGCTTAACCAGGGCCGGGTCACAGGAGCAGCAGGCTGAGCAAAGCCCTCTCCCCAGCAAAGCTTTCCAGGTCCTCCTGGGGGATCCAAAGGTGTTCCCAGGCCAGATGAGATATGTAATCCCTCCAGCGTGTCCTGGGTCTACCCTGGGGCCTCTCACTAGTGGGACGTGCCCAGAACACCTCTAATGGGAGGCGCCCAGGAAGCATCCTGATCAGATGACTGAACCACCTCAACTGACCCCTTTTGATGTGAAGGAACAGCCGCTCTACTCCGAGCTCCTTACCCTATCTCTAGGGCTGAGCCCAGCCAACCCACGGAGGAAACTAATTTCAGCCACTTATATTCGCAATCTCATTCTTTCGGTCACAACCCAGAACTCATGACCATATGAGAGGGTTGGGACATAGATAGACCAGTGAATCGAAAGCTTCGCCTTCCAGCTCAGTCCGGTGCAGTGCTCGCATCACTGCAGACGCCACACCTAACTGCCAATCCATCTCAAGCTCCAGTCCAAACAAATTCTAATCAATTACATTCAGGTATTTTTCAGAGCTGATGCATTTATACATAGAAGAGAAACAGAAGAAAAATTTACCTGGAAAGCGAAGTTGTGACAGATGTGGCACACTTTGACCTGGTCCTGATACATTGCACGCATGTATGGCTCCATCTCTATGATACATCTGGTGGACAAAGTGTATTCACCCCGTTTCTGCATCAATGAGGAGAAATCAGTTACACACCAATAAAGCAACAAAGAGGGAGCAACAAGTGCTTTAAAAACTACAAAAAAGAGACTTCAAAGGAGATGAAAATGGACACAGAGAAAGGAGCAGGTTGTGTTTACTGTGGTGGAATTTAACTAAGTACATTTGCTCAAGCACTGTGCTTCATTACAACATTGAGGTATTTAACTTTATATGCTACTTTGTATTTCTACTTCACTACATTTCAGAGGTAAATATTGTACTTTTTACTCCACTACATTTGTCTGACAGCTTTAGTTACCTTTCAGATTACAACTTTTCAACACCTTCCTGTCCTGTGAAAACCATGCATCTCCAGATGTGTTGATGTATTTGTGATAAACTGATATGTTGAGAAATGTCTCTTACTTCTAAGCTAAATAAACTCTTTAAAATTACTAAAAAAAGCATCAGCTGGAAAATGTAATATTATTGCACAATGCTAAAAACAGGGCTGTCATCTGACACCATGATACATTGACTTTTTAGAGATATGTGGTTCTCACAGGACAGCCTCACTGCAACCATTTAATGATCTTACAGAACATGATGCATTCATGTAGATTAAACTACCCAACAATATATAAAGGAGTTAAAATTAGCACAACAGTAATTGTCATCAAATATGACAGGAAACATTTTACTACAAAATGACTACTTTTACATTGAGTACTTCAAGTACATTTTGTTAATAACACTTCTATATTTACTTTTACTTAAGTACTACACTGAATGCAGGACTTTCAGCTGTAGTGGATTATTTTTACAGTGTGGTATTATTAATACTTTACTGCAGTGAAGGATCTGAATACTTCCTCCACTACTGCCTTTTTGTCAAGTACATGGGACAAACACTGCAGCTCATTGTACTGACATTACAGTCAATCTCTCGTCACCCCCTTAACTGAGAAGCGACGCTTGGTGGTAAATTTATTTTCAACCGAACTTCCATTGTGTGGATCTATTTCTGCAATGTGTCACCTCATACTTGCAGACTGTCTTTGCAGTAACTGTGAAATTCTCCTCTGTGGAGCCAGACAAGTGCCACTGATAATCCAGCCAAGCCACAAGCCAGATAGCACAAGCCTAACCTCAACGATGGTGGACTATGAGGATCAATCACAGAGCTGAGATACAATTGTTGGTGGTCATTGGTTCCACCAAAGAGCGTGCAGTCGATGCACAACCAAACATTGGTCAATCAATTTATATGTTGTAGTCATGATAGTTTGTGGCAGGTAGGTTTATTTCAGCAGTCTGGCCTCATCTACACATTCATCCTGTGACTTTGTCCTCGCTAAATTTGATTTGACATCCTGGTGGAGACACTGTTTTACCTCATTGAGCCATTTGTCATGCACGAGTCGGGTCAACAGGTGCTCTGTCTCGCTCTTCTTCAGCTTTCTGGTGGTCAGGGTGTCGGCACTGTTCAGAATATCAGTAGAGGAGGCCTTGCCATCTTCAGAGCCCACGATCAGGTCCATCTGAAGCAGAATTGCATGGCTTAGTCATCACACAATGACAAAGGCACAGCCAAAGCATCTGGACATTTTCCCCTGTGCTAACATTGGATATTGAAAACTGAATAACAGGAATGAATAAAGTGATTTGGTTGTACAAACAAAAGATTCACCGAACAAACTGTTACTCTGCTCTGTCTGCTCGCTACTTTTCCTTATTTCAGTGGAGTTATACTTTGGGTGGTGGAAGATTGATTTTGTTTAATTTAACTGTTCAATGGTGAGGTGATATAAGACATATACTACTACAGAGGTCATCTTTAGTACAAGACTGTTGTATTGGTTTCCATTACAATGAACATGGGTATGTATTTTTTCAGGTCTAACAGTGCAAACAGCAGTATAGTGCAAGAAGTAAGTTTAACAATCAGCTGATTTTTCAGGTTTCATTTACATTATAGCCCCACCTTTTAAAATACAGGTAGCAACTGTGCTGAAGGCAGCTTTGGATGAAACTGTATGGAAAAATATTGATATGCAAGATTTTCTTGGTGAATTTAACTCACAGTTTTCCTGAACAGCTCCAACTCATTGTCAGCATAATCTGACGACATCCTGGTGACATCAGTCTCAGCCATGTTCACCTGCACAGGATTAAAGTAAAACAGGGATTAACAATGCCTCCTAGTGGTTAAACATACTTTTAATGCAGACAGCTTTCTTCGGACATTACAGGTGTATAAATCTTTTCATTAATTTCCAAGTATTATCAAATTTCATACATCTTTCACACCCTACTGAGCAACTACTCAAACTGATTAACTATTTTGAGTCAGTGGACCTTAACCCTGATTAAGTGAGCAACCATTATTGATGAATGATCACAACATAATGTGGTTGTCAAACAGATCCAAGAGCCAAATTACAGCAGCTCCTTGTCAAAAAATGGTGATCTTAAAAGTGACAGACTTTGACATTTGTTTTTAGATCTAATAATCTTAATTACTTTATCAGTCATTTAACTGGTCAAATACTGTAGCAACATCTGAAACACCATTATAAGTTTCCCACTAACCAAGGCGTAATACTGGTGACCGCTGTCTTCAGACATCCCTTTTCTAATCTGCATGAACATGGGCTGCAGCTTTGAGTTGATGGTATCGATGAAATCATCCAGTTTGTCAGGGATGTGCTGTGCTGTAAAAGACAAATAAAGTTTGCCCCAAGTTTGCTGATATCAAGAAGACTTAAGTGCAACTCTAACAAGCGCTTGAGCAACACTTCCACAGTGACTTGGCGATAATGAAGCCTGTTGGGCTTTTGCTGTGCTGCTCGTAGTGTGAACAGGATATGTCTCATATGATCACTGTTCCTGTTTCCTCAAAGAATGTTGTGACACAGTTCAATAATGGAGGGACTGTCACAGTTTACCTGTCCTGCTAAAAACCAGTAAACCCAACAACTTGGCAAATCCTAGCAAATTTTGGCTCCATGTATAAATATAGGACAGAAACATTACTTCTGTTTGAGAATTTGCCCAAATTCACTGCCTGTGATTTTTATTTCCTATGCTTTTCAACTAATGGTTTAAAGTCCTGTATTATGAAAATTTTAATTTCTGTCTAACTGAACATTTCAAAAATCAATTATGAGGCTAATTATTTGCCCAAAAACTTACATATCCTCAATAATAAGTGTTTATTAAGTTTACATACTGTTATACTGATTTTGTGCTGCACAACACGAACCTGCCGAAAACCAGTTTTTATCTGAGGTAGGCCAGTTTTACCTGTAACACGCCCAATCTTCCTTTTAATTTATTAAATGTAATATGAATGAGACATGAAAAATGTCCATGTAAAAGACAATGGATACACTGAGCTGAACTTCAAACTTGAAAATGATCAAAATATAGACAAAGGACTTTTGTTTAGAGGCATAATTCGTTTCTTGTCATCCAAGGATCTGCTATAAATCCCATGTCCTGATACAGAGGTGAACTCCTGACTTATTCTGGGTCAGTAACAGGTTTTACAGATATAAAGTGACTCACTGTTGTGGGTTTCACAACAATATTGATAGAGTGCCTTTGCCCCTTGTTCATCAACAATGCCACTGGCCATCATGGTCTGTAGGAACCGTCGATGGCTGTCTCCCATCTGTCGTGACATGTCTCTGGACTGATCTAGACACACACAACAGGTATAAAGTCTTGAAATATATTGGAATATATTGGAGAAATGGTTATGAAAGTACTTTTAAACCCAACAATCACATGGTTATCCAATACAAAGAGACAACGAGCATCTCCATCAAGGAGTCACCATTTTACTGATAGATATAAAAACAAAAACTAATCCAATGGGTCACAGGTTTCAGTTAGCTTAAGGCATCAATTATAACAGAAAATGATTAACCATAGTCATAATTATTACAATTAAGACAATGAACAGAAAAGTACTGTACTTAAAAGTACTGAGTTGCAAACCTGCGATGGTTTGTAACTTCGTATCAGCTTGATATATCTTATAACACTTCCTAAGACTGTAAACAGCAATAAGTATTTTTTTTCAGCAATTAGCTGTATTGGTACGTCACCCTAGCTTGCTAACGTTCATACAAAAGCTACATGTAAGTGTTTCAACATCCTGAAGTTAAGCTAACCGTTACCGTTAACCGTTGAGTGTTTGCTAACCTGTTGTGCCGATGCGGAGATTTTGTCGGTTAACGGTTGACAAGGGTTGTTAGCGGGTTAGCCTTACAGCAGCTCAAATATTGAATATTTAGCAGGAATAAACTTTTAAAGTCAGAATAAGTCGTGAACAAGTTTACCGGCTAGTTTCCCTTACGCAAAGCGCGCCTCCTGTGTTGTGTCTCCTGCGTCTTCTTCTTCTTCTTCTTCTTCGCCTTCTTGCAGATTTCCGGTAATTTGCATGTGTGGTGCATTACCGCCACCTGCAGCTCCGGAGAGTAAGTGTAATTTCACCCATGCTTATATTCATGCCAATGTAAACTCCACATCCTGATAATTATCATATTTGCTGCTTCAGTCACAGCGCTCCAACCTACTCTGGAAAATGGCAGTTTTATTTATACAGGACTCAAATCAAAGTGCTTTACATTAATAGACAACATATAGATGAAAATACGAAAACATAATTTGCATAAAAATACTTAAGAATGCATAAACTGAAAATGGGCAATTATTTCTTTTCATGATGTTCCTTATGAAATATGCTATTTTCAATCCGTTAATAGAAGCAACAAAGGATGAATAGATGTAGATGAGGAGTGTTGTCAATCTTAATGTCTCTGACACAGGTTACAGTGAATTTGCCCAGTCACAGCTCCAAGTAATTAGTAATCAGGACAAATACAGTATCTGATAGACATACAGAAATGCTGTGATCTGTGACACACACCAGGTCCATTTTAAAATACTACAACTAGCCTAGAACAGCAATGTTTAGCCCCCAGTTGTTTGTTTGGTCAGGTCAACAGTCCAGGCTTTGTGGCTGCTATTATATTTGCCTAATTTTCCATACACAATAAAACCAGCTGAGTGTGAGCATTTTCCCAGCAGCCCTGTGTGCCTCTGCAGCTCCTGTCACCTGACACAGCTGTGTGTATTCAGTAGATTTAACACAGCAGAGACTCACAGTAGATAATAAAATGCTGATGAAGACAACTATAATACCACTGTAATGATTGCTTTTCAATGTTCAAAGAAATATATTCCCCAATATTACTTTTTGGTATCACCTTCCATCAGGCATAATAACAATATAACCGGACATTAAGGCCTTTTATGACACCCTAACAAATTATAGCCTATGTAGATGTCACCATGGGACACATTGCTGCTATTATGCAGCAGGAATATTTTGTCGCATACAATGAGAAACAAGGATAGTTCAGATTGTTAAGGGGGGCTGTATGGGGTACTTATGCATAGACAGTATATTCCAAGCATTGGATGTCAGTCGGTATGCCTCCAGTTTAAAGAAACAGGCTTGAGTTTGACATGGAAGCTGAGCAATCTACTGCTGTGGAAGGGTCAGTATCAGATTATTTGTATGCTATATTGGGAGTATTTTCACTGCTTTACATCAATGTTAGACAGTGATTTACAACACAAAAATAAAGCGTTTATAGCGCTCTTTTCAAAGCCAGACTCAATTGAGAAAAACAGCAATTTAACACTGCTTAACACTGGAGCTGCTGGCCTACTGCTGCCTCACTCAGTTATCTTTTTGTGTGTGTTACAATGTGACTTTGGCATTTTTAAGGGTTAGTTTGGATTTACAAAAGTCACACAGTAACACAAACCGACAAGGAGTAGACCAGCAGCTTCTGTTTTCATCAAGCTAAAATGACTATTTCTGTCAGTGGAGTCTGGTGGCTTTGACAAGAGCATAGATGGGGAACTGAAGCTGTTACGCTTAAAGTGATATGTGGCACGTGGCTAAAATACGTGTTGCTGCTGACCCCTATCCACAGCAGTACATTGCTTAGCTTCCAAGTCAGACTCCAGCTTGCTTCTCCAAACTGGAAGCGTGCTGACTGACATCTACTTTATGTAATACACTAATGACAAGCGATAATACTGTGCTATAGTTAAGTGTAAGTATTCATAGTATCTTGCTTGTTATGAGATAAACAAGGAAGTGGGAGGACTGAGTGAGCATGTATGGAATATTTATACTGCTGAACTCAATGAAGACAATGCATCCAGTGTTAGACCCGTTTGTATTTTGATCCTAGTCAATGGTTCAGTGGTGCCTAACATGACCAGAGTGCCTTTCGAAAAGCAAGAGACGCAAACAAGACTTATTCTAAATGCTTTATTACTCTAACAAATTAAATAAGAACATATAATACAAGGTGTCTGAGTCTTTGATTACAATATAGCCTATTATTAACATTATTTAAATACAGTATCCAATGTCATCGTGTTTTACTGCAGCATTTAACCTAATATTCCTCAACATTATCCCAAATCTTCTCAGGCTCTTCACCACAAATTTCAAGTTGAAAAAAGGTGTCTGAAAATAGCTGGGTTATCATTGTGGTGCTCATCGGGATCAGCATGTTTACATGTACACAAATAACTCGATTCATGTAAAAAAAAATGTACAGAATGAAGGTAATGGTGTGATTAAACGGTCATTATGGTTTACTGTACTATAATTTCCCGCCAACTTCAGTTAACATAACGTAAACTGATCAATGTCTGAAATGGTTTGTGTTAACCTCCAGGAAACATATTACTACTACCCACACAAACCTAATACTGCAATTAAAAAATAACAGACCAGTAACCACGCTTGTTATTTGGATAATGTTGCCATTGATTCTGAGGTACAGCAGATAATATGGTTATGGTGTTGACAACATTGTGAGAATCAGAGTGTTGCCTTGGAAAGTTTAATCGAATTATTATTGACTGTGTAAACACGCTGATAGCGAGGCTGTGTTCAAGACATTACTGAAAGGGAAAACCCAACAACTATATGCAGTTTAATTTTAAGCTATGCTGACAGCACTGCCTCGTCCTTGCTTCTTTTTGTTGGAGAATCCCAAATTTATTTAGTTATATTACAAATCAGAAATGCCTTGGACAGATTATCTTCACATGTTGAAGTGATACTGCCGCTGCTGAGTTTCATGTAAAATGTCTAGAACAACTAACCAAGTGTAAACAGTAGATTTGCAGTGCAAAGGTTATTCTCCTGTCTGTCCAACAGGACCTCTCTGGGATAATAAAGCAAGGACTGGACTTTGATCTCAGAGATGGGGAGTACAGACACCAACATTAGCATTTTAACAATTATTTTATAGTGACATTTACTTGCTCACCGCATGTAAAAAAGTAAGATTGGGAGTCCTGTCCTAAACAATTTTGTACTTTCTTCCAAATGTGTTCACATCACTAACCACTCAGGTGCAGATGTTGCTCTTACTGAGAAATGTGACATAATTCAGGAAAGAAACAAAAAATCTTTCATCACTGACTAGTCAAAACTGGACAAACAGCGTGTGCAACAGAAATTACCCCCGATGTCATCAATCCTTAGTGATGTGGTTGGAAAAGCGAGGCACGTGTCACTCATTCTCCCAGCTTTGGCCTCTTGTGGTGACTCGACAGCTTCTCCATCTTGCTGTAACAAATCCAACTTCAACAGTATTTTTAGCCCACATCTGAGCACAGTGGGCTTTTTTTTTTTTTTTTTTTTTTTAAGCCCACCACTGCTATCACCATCTTCCTATTTCTCCAAAGTGCCCATTGTTGACTCAGTGTGCTTTTCGTCCCATCAAATGTCTTTATCCATTTAGTTGGCAGCAGTTGGCTGAGAAAACACCAAACCTGAGGACCAAATGTAAGACGTAAGACGGAGAATGACGAGATGATGACAACACATCGGTGTTCCCTGACAAAAATGGAGGAACCACGAGGGCTGCCTGTTGTGAAACTATCAGCTGAGAATCATTAGTTTCCCTCCACAAAGAGACAATAGATGTCTGGATGTTACAGTAGTATGGGTTTTTATTCAGTAATTACACTTGTAATCTGTTCATATGTGTGTGTTGTACCTTGTGTTCTAGTGACTGGTAGGAAACTGTCCATGTGTGTTGATGGACTGTTGCAACTTTTCCTCTTTGGCCCTTCTGCTGTGGCAAAGCTGTGGAAGAATTAAAAAAAAACAGTCAATGTGCCTTTCTTCTTAAAATGTTATTTAATGCATTTGACCCCCAAAAGGTAATATGTCATGATTGTTTCTACACAAATACTGCACTTCTGGCTTCTCACCGTTCTCTTCTCCATGAAGCTGGTGAGAAATTCATCTATGTCTGTGCGCCCCTCCAGGAAGTTTTCAGCTGTTTCCTCTGATTCTTCCTCAGCCTGGTGGGCTGCAACTTTTAACCGAGCCTGTAGCGTACTAAGACTGCAACTCTAGTGGGGGAAAAGAGATGAAAAGACTTAAGTAAGAAACATAAAGATAAATGTTCACTTGAGTGTTTCAAGACATGTTCAAGAATGTTTGGGTTTCTCTGAACTCTTCAATATTTCTTTTTTTAGTTTCTTTTATTTGACTACAGTACAGGCCAAAAGTTTGGACACACCTTCTCATTCAATGCGTTTTCTTTATTTTCATGACTATTTACATTGTAGATTCTCACTGAAGGCATCAAAACTATGAATGAACACATGTGGAGTTATGTACTTAACAAAAAAAGGTGAAATAACTGAAAACATGTTTTATATTCTAGTTTCTTCAAAATAGCCACCCTTTGCTCTGATTACTGCTTTGCACACTCTTGGCATTTTTTCGATGAGCTTCAAGAGGTAGTCACCTGAAATGGTTTTCCAACAGTCTTGAAGGATTTCCCAGAGGTGTTTAGCACTTGTTGGCCCCTTTGCCTTCACTCTGCGGTCCAGCTCACCCCAAACCATCTCGATTGGGTTCAGGTCCGGTGACTGTGGAGGCCAGGTCATCTGCCGCAGCACTCCATCACTCTCCTTCTTGGTCAAATAGCCCTTACACAGCCTGGAGGTGTGTTTGGGGTCATTGTCCTGTTGAAAAATAAATGATCGTCCAACTAAACGCAAACCGGATGGGATGGCATGTCGCTGCAGGATGCTGTGGTAGCCATGCTGGTTCAGTGTGCCTTCAATTTTGAATAAATCCCCAACAGTGTCACCAGCAAAACACCCCCACACCATCACACCTCCTCCTCCATGCTTCACAGTGGGAACCAGGCATGTGGAATCCATCCGTTCACCTTTTCTGCGTCTCACAAAGACACGGCGCTTGGAACCAAAGATCTCAAATTTGGACTCATCAGACCAAAGCACAGATTTCCACTGGTCTAATGTCCATTCCTTGTGTTTCTTGGCCCAAACAAATCTCTTCTGCTTGTTGCCTCTCCTTAGCAGTGGTTTCCTAGCAGCTATTTGACCATGAAGGCCTGATTGGCGCAGTCTCCTCTTAACAGTTGTTCTAGAGATGGGTCTGCTGCTAGAACTCTGTGTGGCATTCATCTGGTCTCTGATCTGAGCTGCTGTTAACTTGCCATTTCTGAGGCTGGTGACTCGGATGAACTTATCCTCAGAAGCAGAGGTGACTCTTGGTCTTCCTTTCCTGGGTCGGTCCTCATGTGTGCCAGTTTCGTTGTAGCGCTTGATGGTTTTTGCGACTCCACTTGGGGACACATTTAAAGTTTTTGCAATTTTCCGGACTGACTGACCTTCATTTCTTAAAGTAATGATGGCCACTCGTTTTTCTTTAGTTAGCTGATTGGTTCTTGCCATAATATGAATTTTAACAGTTGTCCAATAGGGCTGTCGGCTGTGTATTAACCTGACTTCTGCACAACACAACTGATGGTCCCAACCCCATTGATAAAGCAAGAAATTCCACTAATTAACCCTGATAAGGCACACCTGTGAAGTGGAAACCATTTCAGGTGACTACCTCTTGAAGCTCATTGAGAGAATGCCAAGAGTGTGCAAAGCAGTAATCAGAGCAAAGGGTGGCTATTTTGAAGAAACTAGAATATAAAACATGTTTTCAGTTATTTCACCTTTTTTTGTTAAGTACATAACTCCACATGTGTTCATTCATAGTTTTGATACCTTCAGTGAGAATCTACAATGTAAATAGTCATGAAAATAAAGAAAACGCATTGAATGAGAAGGTGTGTCCAAACTTTTGGCCTGTACTGTAGGTACAAACAATGTGGTCTTAGATGTCTTTCCTTTTGTCTCAGCCAAAAAGTTGCATCTGAAAACACTGCAAATACTGCAGCCAATGGCTAACTCCAAAGTATATTCTGCGCCTGCAAGAGAGGAGGTAACTCTCCATACCAGCAGGCGACAGTAGTCTGTCTTTGTCATTACAAAAGGGAAACCAGACGACAGACAGGAAGGATTCAAGATGCTAGTTAGCCTAGCATCTTGATGCTAGTCAGCTAGTTAGCACATAAACAACACGCTGCCTCTGATGCCATATCAACATGCTATTGCCAACGGTAGACACACACTGACAGCCTGACAATGACCAACAGCTGACGGTGGCTTGGTGTGTCAAGGCCTTGACAAAAAGAGGATCCTCACAACACGAGATCTAATGTGTAGCACAGACAGATGTCGAAATGTGACTGCTAGTTAAGTCTGTACTGAAATATTAGGATTTTTTATTTGACAGGACAGATTCTTAAGCATGAAAGAGGGGAGAGAGAAAGGATGACATGCAGCAAAGGGCTGGGGCTGGAATCGAACCCGCAACCACTGTGGTAAGGTCACTGCCTATGTACATGGGACACCTGCTCTTCCTACCGAAATACTAGGAGCCCTGTACTGAAGTTTATATGCAGCTGTTTCTTTGTGTGCTGTTAAATCATGACTGTTCTGGTTGACTCAGGCCATTAAATCATGCTTTGCTTAAATTAAAGAGACTTATAATTCCTTTTTTTGGTCCTACAATTATGGGAACAGCCCAAATGTTCAGCTTTGACTCATCAAAATGGTCACAATTCAACTGAAAACATCAGCAGCTTTTATCCAAAAAGACGAATCTGCACTCAGAACCTATTATCAGTCAAACCACAGTGTGACGAGTGTAGCTGCTTACCTCACTAAGTTCATGCTGTCTCTGCATCCTTGTTTCAAAGGCCGACTTCATCTGAGTCAACTGTTCGTACTGCAGGCAGACACAAACACACATTATAAGCTGCTAGACAAAAGCATGAATGGGTTTCTTGTGTCAGTCTGTTTGAGACAGAGCAGAAAAGATTGGATGTAAAATCTGACCTTGTAAAGCATTTCTTGTCTTTTTCCTTCCAGCTGTGGCTCCATCTGAAGATTCTTCTCTGTTAATGACAGACAGAGATGAAAACATCTTTGTAATGCTCAACTAAACTGAAACTTCTCCTTCATGACTGACCAACAAGACCTTCAGTCCAGCAGCAAAAGGGGAACTTACTAGCCATGTCCACTATACTGGTGACCAGCTCTTCTTTATCACTGGTGACTTGTTTCAATTGTGGCAAACTCACGAAGAACTCCAGTAACACATCCTCGTTTTCAGACATGTCCGACAGCTGGGTCAGACTAGGGTGTGGTTGTAGACGTAGGTAGATGTGCAGCAGTAATTGAAAGAACAAGAGAACAACAACATTAATTATGGGTAAAAAAAAACACACACATTATAACCCACTTTAACAATGGGCACTTCAGAAAATATAAAAGATATTTAAGTTGACAATATTTTGGGATACTTTACTTCAAGTCACAGAGTTCAGGAAAGGACTCTGGGATCTCAGGCATCTTGTACATGTGTCCATTCAGTCCAGCCTGAAACAGAAAGCAGTAGTATGAGCAAGTCACATTCTTCAATGATTTTATGTCAGTGTTGACACAAAATATATCTTTAATTTATCTTTATCATTAAGCTTTGCTTGGTAAATCTTAGGAGGCCAGAGCGTCAATGTTTGAGATGTTGTTGTTCCTCCCCTTGCTTTTAGCATTCATTACCTCTGCCAAGGAGGTCATGCTTTTGATTCAGTTTGTTTGTCAGTAGAATTTGACAAAAATTACCTTGGGGGTAGGGTGTAACATGGGCCAAGAAGAATTCCATTAAATTCTGGAGCTGATTCAAAACCCAGGACGGATTCAGTATTAACGTTGTGAGATAGGTTGTTATGCCTTGGCAGCTGTCTGCGCTCTCAGAGTGCTCTTGTAATTTTTATATAGGCTGATGAACCTGATGCTTTCCTGACTGTCAGTGCTTTGCTTGACATTTGTTTTTCAAGGCATGGGAGCTGAAGAAAGCTCCTCTATGTTAATTCATCACAAGCCATTTACAAAGCAACACTTCACGTATATATTTACTTCACTTTATAAAAACTTGCAGCTCATATCATTGTCCTCTGTGTGTCTGTGAGTGTGTTTAGAACAGATGTTATCAACCCACTTGTGTACATTATCCATTATCTGTGTACCTGGGAGTCTCCAGTAGGAACAGGCAGCGGCAGGTCAGAGATCAGTCCATATGGGGCTGGGGCTCGAGGGGGCCCATGGGTACTATCGACCCCTGGGTGAGGCATGGGAGCTGGAGCTGGGCCTGGACCGGGAGGTGGTGTGTGACTGGGGCCCACATGGCGAGGACCATAGTGGTAAGCCTGAGTGGGGTAAGGAGCCATGCCTGACGGCTTGTACATACTGCTAGGGAAACACAGGAGGAAGTAAAATTATTTTCCTAAAGCATAACAAACACAACAAATGTATTTATAGGAAAATTCCTAGCAAAAAACAAACAAATAAACAAAACCCTTGTAAAAGCTGGGGTTTACTTTATTAGTTTGGTGGTTATTTTATTTACCAGCTTCATTGGAAGGAACCTGGTACACGAGGAAACTACTAGACAGAACTTTTCTGAGGTGGTTATACAGGCAAAGGCATAAATGCCTCATACATGTTTCAAGAAACAAGTTTTATACGTGTCAAAGTTACACAGCATTGCTCCAAATTCCCATTATAATTTCCAACTGCTTTTCAGAGCTACTTCCTTCCTGCACTGCCCCAATAAAAGTAGGATGGCAAAAATATTTTAATAGGACCCAGATGGCAGAACACCTGAACCTTCAGTTGTTATGAAGTGTAACAAGAAAGTACTGAGAGACCATGAATGTAAGAGGAAACTCACTATGGAAAGCCAGCAGCGCCACTGGACATCAAGGCAGGAGGACTCTTCCAGAACTCGTCCAGCAGACTCTGGATGACCTTACCCAGATCTGAATGCATCCCAAACTTCAACACACACAACAAGGAGAGTACTTAAAGAAAAAGTGAGGATAACATTACACAACCAAAGCATGAACAAGCAAAAAGGAGAAGGCTGGAAAAAATGTTTACATGCAGCTGGTATATAATCAGATTTCTACCCCTATCTCTGTTTTGAACTATGGTTAGCATATTATATGGTTTTATGCACACTAATATCTCAGTAATAATCAGATATTTTAGTATGCTGTGATGTATTTGTATGTGTAAACAACTTGTTCCTTGTTCCAACATGAATAAGGCCTTATCCTAGTTGTGTTTACAGAAATGAGTGATAGTGGCTCAGATGTCCAGCGTTCAACCCACTGCTCTACAGACAAAAGATGATCAGAAACTTGCAAGATGACGGAATCATGAATGGAAGAGATGACAAAAACAAACTATTTTTTATGTACTGACTTTTTTCCCTGGTCAATAACAGCATACGGTCTGAGGACGCAGTGAGAGGACAGGCTCTGTGCTGAGAGAGTACACAGTTTTTTCTTTATTTCTCACGTGTGCTTGAATCTTGTAAAGATCTCCTGTTCAGCTGAGGAAACTGTCTTACTTTGAGTCACTGATTTCAGTTTCAGTTTTAGTCAAATGTGAGACTGACATAATTTGGATACAGCTATGAGTTACAACCTTTCCTTTCATTCCAACATACTGCTGCCACAGTGATACTGTCCCTGTGCTGTGTTTTAATTAACAAGCTGTGCTGGGTTTCTATTAACATAGAGCTATCTAATAAGGTTGTTGTTAACGATGGTGTAAACGCATAGCAAGAGAGATGTTGTCACAGGTGTCAACAGTCAGAAGAGAGTACAGCAGAAGAGACAAAACAGACATCTGTTGTCTGTCTGTGCGCATTAGCATTCACCATTGCCATCCACTCAGCTCACAAATTGGCAAATGGTGGCTTTCATGAATGTTTTATATAGCAGATCTGGAAAAACCGAACCAGTTGACCTTATTGAACTCTTTCAATATTCCTGGAAGCACCTCAGGAAACCTAGACAAGAAAGCCTAGACAACCACTTACATTAGTGATGAGGGGGCTAGTGATCATGGTGCCATTATTGCTGTCGACTAAGTGATGACCAACAGGGGGATAGACACTAACCACCGGCTTTTCCTGGGGGAACTGAGGAGGCAGCAGGCTAGAGGAGGGAGAAGAAATTCAGCCTTCAGGAATCACATTAACCTGATGTATAACAGCTTCTAAAGTATGTGATATATCAATGTTGTAATAAGGCATTATGGTAGTGTAATGTACATTTGTCCCCATGTAGACCAGCCCCATGTTCTTAAAATTGGAAGCACCAGTAGAAATAATGTGGGAAAGGTTTTTTACTGACAGCTCCCAGGAGCATACAAAGACTTACTGGTTCATGCTGTGGGGACTAAAGCAAATGAGACAGGTTGCTCTGATTGCTAAGTGACCTTTCCTGCTTTTCTTGTCTTGTCTTTCTTCTTTAACTGCCTTGTTAATATATGGAGTGCTAGGGTTGCCAGGTCTGACTATATGTGCAAAGATGTACTTACATATTAACACTAATAGTGGAGTTGTTGACTGTGAATGGTATTCTGTATTCCACATCTTTCTGGATCTCAGCGAGGCTGTTGGGAAACACAAACACATAATCAGTAATCTTGCATCTGGAATCATGATCAGAACATTTAAATAACTTATTGTGCGTCTTCCATCAATGTTTATGAACATCCTGCTGGTTTGTAGAGTGAGACAGATTCATAAAGAGAGCCCTTTAATGCCTATACTCACCCGATGACTCTACTTCTTAGGAAAACAAAGTCTGATAGGAAATGAATTGTAATGCTGATCCCAGTATTAATTTGTCTCACTGCATTACCAACGCATGGTTATGTTCCACCAGTGACAGCCACCTACCATTACTGTATGCAATAACTGTATTGCTTTATTGTTTACAGCAGCCATCACTTTTTAGTTTTGCTCAGTTGCATATTTCCCAGAATTAATGCCGGACTTTTAAACCTGACAACATTCAGCCCAACAAAAGAGAGCTACATGTCTGGTCTTACCCTCCACTCCTTTCACAGTCTTTACAGTGTATGAATTATCTTCTCCCATCCATTTATTCCTTCACATCATCGCCATGTGACTAACAGTATTCACCACAGCACGTTAGCCTTCATGCCACCAGCCAATGAACTCCACATCCATATGAAACGCAAGGATCCTTGCGTTTCACTGTGCAATCCCATTTATTTGTCACACACATACTTAACATCAAGAGGGAGATTCCTACGATTTAACGCATCTTGCTGACAAGAGATGAACTGTGAGAACAGTCTGTTTATGCTGACTGTCTGACTAAGAAGAAAGACAAAACAAATTGTCACTGAGACAGAGCTCCTTAGTAAACAAAGGCTACTAATACTTTAATCTCCACATCTAATTAGCTAGCTCCTCCTAAAACTCCATGCGTGACACACTGGCGTGGTAAACACCGGAATGATCACAGGACAGGGCCAGCCAGCTACGTCTCGTGTCATCAACCCTAAAAATAGACTGTAACTCTAACTGTCACCGGTTGACTTGATCAACTAGCATGCTAACACAGCGCCCTGAATCACATCCAGCTAATGTTGGTTAGCTACGAGGAAAAATTAGCAAACATTAGCCGCTCAACGACCACACTGGTGCATGTAACGTAGTGGCTGTGGGTTCACGTAAAATCCTGTGTACCACTTTAACACGTTTACACAATCCCAGGGATAATTGTGTACGAAAAACGAGACTATTAGCTATAATATTAGTTAGCCTAGCATACTTCCTCTGACTAAACATTTACTGTGAGCCAGGTGGCTAGCTATGCTAAGTTAACATCAGCTGCGTGTCAACAGTCAACATGTTTCATTAAATAACGTTTAAAACAGTGGGCAGAAAACACAGTGGTGGCCATATTCTGTTTGATGTTTTTTAAAAGCTAGTCAGCAGCACCAGGGTCTGTTTTTGTGACCGGTAGCCGTCCACGTTACCTGGGGTGAGCGGCTTTGAGTGACTCGATCTGCCGCTGTCTTTGTTGCTGTAGGCTGTTGAGAGGAGGGAGAGGTCCGGAGCCTTTAGACAGGGGGAAAAGCCAGTTCATCCTCTCCTGGCTACACCACGGACTGAAGTTGGTGACAGAATATAAAGGCCGACAAGAGACGAAGACGAAATGGAAGAGAAAGTGAGAGTAAAAAGCACACGGTGTGCAGATATGTGGTGCTAACCCCTGTTAGCTGGTTGACTAACTGACGACTCCGGCTGTACTTTTACAGTTAGTCTACGTTACAGAGTTAGATAGCATATCCTTATGTGAAGAATAAAATGTCTATTCCGTCTTATCTCCAAGAGTTCGTATGTAAATTCAGCAGTGCCATTAATATTACGAGGAGAGAGGTAATTATAGCTGAGAGAAGACGACAACCTTGCGAGTACGCAGCAGAAGCTTGAGCAACTTATTTACGTATGACGTCAAGTCTACGTAAAGCGCAACTTCCTGTTTTTCTGTTGTCTTCATGATAAAACCTATGGATAAAACATCCTTAAAGCCAGACAATAAAAGTGATTTACACCTTAAATTTATAATATATTGTATATCGATTCAAATCAGAGGCTGTCAAAAATGATTGTTCTTCATATTGCCTTTATATTTACTAGTGTACATGCTGTTGTTTGTTTATTTTTTCCCTATGGGCGTATTAAGGAAACTCTCATACTACATTCCATTTATTTTTCAGGAAAAGGTGAACTATTTATAACAGATAATAATTTGAGATAATCAGAAAAATGATGGCCCATACAGTTGAGGGGATATGTCAAGTGTAGCAAATTAACCCCTTCATACACTGTGGTCACTGCAGTGGATAGCTATTTAAAAGACAGTTTCTTGTACATGCATGGGTTTCACAGAAGACCCTAGTGCGTCATGCCATATACTGCCACCCACTGGCCAGGTGTTGTCAGTGCAACACAAATCTTTCAAAACCAAGATGGCCGACAGAAAGCAAGAAATGTGCAGGTCAAAAATATCTTGCCAATCCTTCTATAATAGGAGACCCTGGCAGGTAAATAAAATCTGGTAACATCAAGTAACATCTGAGGAGTAACACAGTTGTTAAATTTTCCAAGTATTAATTTTATGTTGTGAGATAATTACAATTAATCATCTGTTCACTGAACTGAACATCAGGCATCGCTGGCGTTATTTCAACTACAATTAATATTATTACTGCAAATTTGTTGTTCTTAAATAAACTTCATCTGCAGTGACATTTTTGGCTGTAAATTAACTGATTTATGTTGTTTGAAGGTAATGTACAGTTTTTGTAACAGAAACAATATTTTGACAATATTGGTGTTATTTTTGCAAGAAAATGTTGGTTGAAAAAATTACAGTCAGAAGCAAGGTTCAATGCTTTTGCATGGCATTGAACTGTATTAGAATATGTTAAAATATGTGAACACTAACAGCATTAAAAATATATTTTTATCGTTTCCCCTGATATACAGTACAGGCCAAAAGTTTGGACACACCTTCTCATTCAATGCGTTTTCTTTATTTTCATGACTATTTACATTGTAGATTCTCACTGAAGGCATCAAAACTATGAATGAACACATGTGGAGTTATGTACTTAACAAAAAAAGGTGAAATAACTGAAAACATGTTTTATATTCTAGTTTCTTCAAAATAGCCACCCTTTGCTCTGATTACTGCTTTGCACACTCTTGGCATTCTCTCTATGAGCTTCAAGAGGTAGTCACCTGAAATGGTTTCCACTTCACAGGTGTGCCTTATCAGGGTTAATTAGTGGAATTGCTTGCTTTATCAATGGGGTTGGGACCATCAGTTGTGTTGTGCAGAAGTCAGGTTAATACACAGCCGACAGCCCTATTGGACAACTGTTAAAATTCATATTATGGCAAGAACCAATCAGCTAACTAAAGAAAAATGAGTGGCCATCATTACTTTAAGAAATGAAGGTCAGTCAGTCCGGAAAATTGCAAAAACTTTAAATGTGTCCCCAAGTGGAGTCGCAAAAACCATCAAGCGCTACAACGAAACTGGCACACATGAGGACCGACCCAGGAAAGGAAGACCAAGAGTCACCTCTGCTTCTGAGGATAAGTTCATCCGAGTCACCAGCCTCAGAAATGGCAAGTTAACAGCAGCTCAGATCAGAGACCAGATGAATGCCACACAGAGTTCTAGCAGCAGACCCATCTCTAGAACAACTGTTAAGAGGAGACTGCGCCAATCAGGCCTTCATGGTCAAATAGCTGCTAGGAAACCACTGCTAAGGAGAGGCAACAAGCAGAAGAGATTTGTTTGGGCCAAGAAACACAAGGAATGGACATTAGACCAGTGGAAATCTGTGCTTTGGTCTGATGAGTCCAAATTTGAGATCTTTGGTTCCAAGCGCCGTGTCTTTGTGAGACGCAGAAAAGGTGAACGGATGGATTCCACATGCCTGGTTCCCACTGTGAAGCATGGAGGAGGAGGTGTGATGGTGTGGGGTTGTTTTGCTGGTGACACTGTTGGGGATTTATTCAAAATTGAAGGCACACTGAACCAGCATGGCTACCACAGCATCCTGCAGCGACATGCCATCCCATCCGGTTTGCGTTTAGTTGGACGATCATTTATTTTTCAACAGGACAATGACCCCAAACACACCTCCAGGCTGTGTAAGGGCTATTTGACCAAGAAGGAGAGTGATGGAGTGCTGCGGCAGATGACCTGGCCTCCACAGTCACCGGACCTGAACCCAATCGAGATGGTTTGGGGTGAGCTGGACCGCAGAGTGAAGGCAAAGGGGCCAACAAGTGCTAAACACCTCTGGGAACTCCTTCAAGACTGTTGGAAAACCATTTCAGGTGACTACCTCTTGAAGCTCATGGAGAGAATGCCAAGAGTGTGCAAAGCAGTAATCAGAGCAAAGGGTGGCTATTTTGAAGAAACTAGAATATAAAACATGTTTTCAGTTATTTCACCTTTTTTTGTTAAGTACATAACTCCACATGTGTTCATTCATAGTTTTGATGCCTTCAGTGAGAATCTACAATGTAAATAGTCATGAAAATAAAGAAAATGCATTGAATGAGAAGGTGTGTCCAAACTTTTGGCCTGTACTGTATATCAATCTTAATTGGTTTATATTTCTTCTATTTCTAAACCTATGCTGTCCACCCGAGCGGACATGTGAAAAGCTCCATAAAAAATGCATGTTTAAAAAAAATGAACTTCATAAGTTTTTTTTCATGCCTAAAGAAAAATAAAACACTTGGCTGAGGTTGTAATAATTAATGCGTGAAAGACTTAATAGCACTGAGAATAACAGTTAACATAGCTTAGAAGGATATTATACTGAGTGCTGGTTTATTTATGTGACAGACACTTGACCTCTTCTGTGAGGACAGTATTGGGTATCATGGGAGACCGCTAAACTCATAAAACATGAGGACGTGAACAGTAGTTGATCAACTGAGTACTGTATTCAGAGACTGAAGGATGGTGCTGCTTTTAGACTTCTGCCACCGTTTCAACCTCCACACCTGAGTAAAGTGGAACAAACTTTAATCTACAGGTGTCAGTGAAGCACAGCCTGTACATGCCCACACAGTCCTGGGAGGAGGTCTGATTAGTCAAGTGGAAACACCTGTGTGAGTGTCACATGGACATGTAGGGAGTTGCTTTCAAGCAATGCACTGTTTTCACAGTAGACATTTTGACATGTCACTGTAGGAAAAACACAGGTGTAACAATGAAATTAATTATGGCTGAACTCCATTTAGCTGTGTCAGTTTCAGGGTTCTGATATTGTTCATGCTGGCTCACTGTCATACTGTCACAGCTTATTACAACACTTGAATAGACCAGAGCAATCAGTAATGTTATTAGTGACACCTGTGCTTTTTCCTGCTATGAAAATTAAAAATGTCAAAATGTACTTTTACCATCACTCTAGTTTGACATTTACTTTGTAAGAAGATGCACTGCATGTTGAACTTTTATGACCTGTGCTGTTATCACATGTAGTGGGTGTACAGCAAAACACCAGACAAAGTTTGAGAAGCCTCGATTGGATGATCAAAATCAATTCACATTAAAACATCTAATTGTAGAAGACCTGAAGGTGGCCTGTAGAGCTTTCAGCTAATTTATCAGTCAAACAGAAAGATTCCTATTTAAACCCCTTTCAGATAGGTTTAGGCTGTAGTGTAAGGTCTTCACAGAAGCTCCTGCTACCACTCTGATCATATTCCCTTCATCAATGCTACACAGGAAAGTAAAGAACAATCATCAATGACAGAGGCCATGATTACATCTGTGTCAAACCACTAATCAATGAAGTATTTAGTATACTTAATAAACTTTGGCAAAAAAATCATTTGTCTTTAAAGTGCATACTAACAGGAAGATGTTTCATTAAAACACTTATTTTAACTTTAACATATTTGTTACTGCCACTCTGATCATATTCCCTTCATCAGTACTCCACAGAGAAGCAAAGAACAGTCATCATTGACAGAGAACATATGACCTGAATCATTATTCTCTGTCAGCTTCAGGTTCAGAAGGGAATATCACAACTCATCATCGTGGTTAATGAGACCAGACACTTTAAAAACACATTTCTCAAGTCAGAAACTATAGAAATGATCCCTGAAAGTATAGTCTTAGTTTGACTGAGGCTGAAAACTGCATCTCATTCACTGCAAAGTGATTCTCACTCAGGGTTCAGAGGTACAGAAGCTCATCATTACATGCTTCAGATGACAGGTGAGGAAATCTAAGACCACAAAGTATAATTCATTCATTTTCCATAACCGATTATCCTGTTAAGGGTCGTGGGGGGCTGGGACCTATCCCAGCTGACACTGAGTGAGAAGCAAGGTACACCCTGGACAGGACACCAGACTATCACAGGGCTCTATGTGGAATTGAAAAGACGAGTTTGCACTGATTGGAAAAAGAAAAGATGTGTTCATGTCCAAATAGATGTTCATAACACTGTAAAATTAGATTTTTGTTTCATTTCTTTCAGTTGGTCTGTTTTTTTGATCATTACTGGAGTTCAAGTGCTTCATAGGTGATCATATAAACACAATGCTTGAATCATGAGAAAACCTTGTTTAAGAAGACTCAAATGTAGCCTACACTTCAATTTGATTTACAGACGCAGTCTTACTGTAATAACTCTGTTTCAACTTGATTATTTTCAACAATAAGGCAGCAATATGTGATATTTGGCCACTGATCAACTAAAATATTTAATTATTAACTGACAAATAAACTAAAATTGTTTTCTTTCAAAACACCAACTGATTTAGTCCTTGCTAAACTTTTGCTAACTTTGAACAACTATTTGAAAAACCAATCACAGCAATTATTTTTAGATGACAGCAAAACATAACTGCTTTATCAAGTTATTTGTTTTAACTTTAACATTTGTGTTGCTACCACTCTGATCATACTCCCTTCATCAATGCTCCACAGAGAAGCAAAGAACAATCATCAATGACAGAGAATATATGACCTGAATCATTATTCTCTATCAGCTTCATGCTCAGAAGGGAATATCACAACTCATCATCGTGGTTAGCGAAACCAGACACTTTAGAAACACATTTCTCAAGTCAGAAACTATAGAAATGATCCCTGAAAGTATAGTCTTAGTTTGACTGAGGCTGAAAACTGCATCTCATTCACTGCAAACTTACTATCACTGAGGGTTCCTCCCTGTCATTAATAGGCTCCTCTC